ATATGTAGTTAAATATTTGGATATTTAAAAACTCGATTTATTGAATATTTTATTGTTTAAAAATATTATTAATTTGTATCTGTATGTATGTAGTTTAAGATTCGGGCAGTGTAAGAAGTAAATAAACCTTATTTGTTACTGCAAAATGTTTTCATGTGTATATTCCTTCCGGTTTATAGAGGAAGCCCATTCCAATTCGTTTTATTAAAAGAAATAAGTACAATTAAATGTATACTACTTACTTAAGCATATCTACTACAAAAATATTAAAACACGTAATCCAAAATATTATTTAAATAGCTACTATCTACAGAATACATTAAAGCATTTACAACTGACAAACTGTAAACTGAATCATATAAAAATAAAATTACGTCAGTTACCTACAAGTGAATAAGGGGTAGATTGCCTTTTTTTTTTGCTTGCAAATTAGTTCGTTGTAAGTACAGCATAAAAATAAAAAAATTGCCCTATTTGATATTAATTCTATTTTTCTATTAAAATACTACTGTTAATTATGACTGTTTAACCATACAATGTTTGAGTCAGTAAATAATAAAATAAAAAATATTTTTCCGGTTGTTACTATCTAAATTGTAATAATTAAAATTCATTATTGTATCATATTTTAAAATTTAAAACACGTACCTATCAAATTCTTTTCTATAAGACTTATCTTAACTGTGTTGATATTATTCAGATAACTTTTAGATTAGGACATACCCACTTTCTTCAATTATTTGTAGTTTTACCTCAAAGGTTTAAAATTTTATTTTCAATTTGCATATAAACATAAATAAGCGTGCCAAAATTTAATATTGCTGAAATTTAAAAAGGAATATAATTTGATAAAGAAGATCGATTAATAGATAATAAATTTCAGATAGGGCGGGACTTCAACTTTTGAGTTACATGTAACTAATACATAATTATACATATTATATTTAATTAAAACTTACAAGAAGTGGGCCTGGAATGTCATTTTTACAGACTTCTTCAAGAGGGACTCCAAATTTAACTTTTTCTAACCTCCTAGGATATGGTCCAGAAGGGTGACCACAGGAAGTTACAACATTACTGAAAGTGGCAGCCCGCCTGTGCATCCTGGCTGCCCAACTACTCATCTCAACCACTAGGAACCCCAAATAACACGCCGTCTGGTACGAAACAACCAAACAGTTCACCCAAGCATAACCTTATTTCACACATTTAGCACTCAGAAATTAAAGGTTAAGTCCCAGCTACATACTGGCCTGTCCGCGCGTCACTGCTCGCCGTGTTTTATCTTTTCATGGTAATAACACCCATTTTATTTACTATTAGTAGCAGAACTAACCACGCCTTTGATAGTGGCCCAAAAATCAATGGACACAAGAACGGACAATCAAATACCAACACTATCAACACACATCTGTCAAAATACAAAAGCAAACAGCCGCAGCGCGTCGTGCGAATTTAGCATCCGATATATATATATAAATAATTCCCTGATTTAAACTTCACCAAAAAGTTGTGCGTTGTTTGTAGGTACTAAATATGTAAGTACGTGCATTTAAAAAAAGGAAAATTGTTTCGAGTGCTGGGAGAATTTAAATGTCCATTTATTTGAAAACTGTGGAAGCTATCAAAATTTAATCGTCGTCAGTCGATTGCGCGTCATTTGTATTTGAAGACTGAGCTATTTTAGTAAGCAAAGTTTAGCTTATTATTTATCATACTATTTATTTTAAATAACAGTTAAATTTCATTGATGTGTGCACGCATCGAAACTATACATCACATCATAGATTACAGATTATAAATCTTTTATCTATGATCATATTATTAACCATTGATAAAAGTTATTGATAGGAAGTGGCCCCAAAGCAACACGAAGTGTTGTTCAACTAGCGTCATTAAGGTACCATAGGCTACTGTCTTATCCATAGGCTTATTATCCTATAGTATTATCCATAGACATATATTAATAGACGTGCCTTAGTCGTAAGTCGTTGTCATAGACATATATTAATGGACGTACCTTAGCCGTATGTCGTTGTAATAATTTCTTGTCTCGAAAAGTGAGGGAGATGGCGGATGGTTTCGGAGTAGTGCTATCTCTTTCTTTTGTTGTACCACAATTCTGTCCGCTAAGGCATGTCCATTAGTAAACGTCGATGGTATTATCTATGGTTACCATGTACGTTCGGATAATTCGCTACATAGATACAGGACAGTTGGAAAGAAAAATAATAGATGCACAATATACCATTAACCAGAACCTGTGATCTTATTAATGTATTGCTAGAATATCTGTAGAAAGGATGTCATTCGTATTCTATGATGACATTTTAACTGTCAAAAATTCAAGAATGTTTATTCGATGGAGGTCAAAAGTGATAACCTAAAACAATTTATTTGTTGGTAAATATATTATTTTCCAAAATTTGTGTGATTTATATGATGTACCAAAACGCCTGTGGTGCAGCAGCATCTGCAGGGGGCTGTGTTGAAGCTGATAAAGAGTGTCACAGCTTAATTTCCAGAGAACCAGCGGTTCCTATTGAACATGACTATAGTGGCTTTGATATTGTTAAAGCTACGCAGGTATAAAATAACAATTAACAACTTGTAAAGTAAAAATATACCTATAGTAAAATTGTGACTATGAAGACATTTTTTGGTATTTTTTTAGTATGGAGCATTTGCTCGAGTTAAGGAACTAATTGACACGGGTTATAATGTAAATCAGCGAGATTCAGAGACTGTAACACTGCTGCACTGGGCTGCAATAAATAATCGCAAAGAAATTATGCGATTTTTTATTGACAAAGGTGCTGAAGTGGATGCAGTTGGTGGAGAGCTGGACGCAACACCATTACATTGGGCAACAAGGCAAGGTCATTTAGATGCTGTAGTTCTTTTAATGAATGCAGGTATGCATTTCTATCTCATGTAAACATTAAAATGTTAAACTGAAATATAAAACAGGTGCTGATCCAACCCTGAGAGATGCAGAGGGTTGTTCTTGTATTCATCTTGCAGCTCAATTTGGACATACTGCCCTTGTAGCCTACTTTGTTGCAAGAAATGTAAGCCCTGATTTACAGGATCGAGGCGGTATGACACCATTAATGTGGGCTTGCTGGAAAATCTGTAGTTTAGATCCAACAAGATTGCTATTAACATTAGGTGCATCAACCAGTTTGGTTGATAATACACAAGGAAATACAGCCCTACATTGGGCAATATTAGCTAGAAACTCTACTGCGATATCTACACTTATAGTTCAGGTATAAAGTTTGGTGATAATTAATTTAAAATTTCTTTATAATGTTTTTAATGAAGAAATATATATTTCTACCCTAATTATTGTTATTATTTTTAGGGTAATGCAAGCTTAGACATTCCTAATCATCGTGGTGATACGCCCTTAACTTTACTCCACGACCATATTGGTGAGGTCTGGGTTGGTTCTAAAGTAGCAGATCGCATAAAGGAGGCTACCAATGTCAATCGAGCTCACAACTTCTTAAAAAGACTGCTTCAGGACAAAGTAATACCCAATTAATGTTGGCCAATGTATAATAAAACATTTAACAGATACCATTGCAGAGATTAAGGTGGTGGTGCATGATTGGTACACCTTTTATTGTGTTCTATATAATTGGTCTCATCCTGGAAGCTAATATTCTGGTCATTATAAAAATATTTCTCCTTGTATGCGTATATATCGTCGTACATTACATTGGACAGCTCTTCTATGATGATCGACTGATTGCCCTATTGCCTTTGAGTATTTATTTGGCGACGAAGCTATGGTTCTACATCACTTGGATTGTTTATATTATGCCCAACGTGACTTTGCTTACAAGTGCGGTGTTTTTCGCCAGTTCTAGTTTGTTATGGTACTGTTTCCTGAAATCGTGGCTTGGAGATCCTGGAGTTATTGTTACCACTCGGGAGTTAAGATTCAGGGTAATGTTTTATTTTTTATTTTCTTCAACTATTATTTAGTTATATAAATATATACAGATTTTTCGATAGCTATGAGTGATTTACCTTATACAATTTGGAATGATTTGAAAGAGAATAAAATTCTGTACAATATAGTGGAATAATTGTTACTAAATGTCTTATCTAAAATGAAGAAATTATTGACGATTATACCGAAATTTAATATTTTATATCGTAGACTTCTTGATATAAGGAAAATTAAAAATTAGAGGTCATGCTTCTCATGAAAATAAACAATCATTTTATTTTCTAATGAATATTTTATTCACCAGTGACACTGACAGGCTTATATCGATATACTGTCACCTTTTCTGTAATGTCAGTTAACAAAAGTGACTAAATAATACAAGTCAATTAAAACAAACTGCTATGTTAAGTGAAAAATGATGGCGTTATACGAAAATTATAATAGAATATCAATTCCTTTAAGAGTATTGCAATGCACGACCTGTACAACTGGAGTAATTTTAACAATTACATTGATGTCCATTACTAGATTTCATTTGAACTCTTCATCGTTTACGATAGCGTTGTTAAGCGTGATGCTTTCCGTTACGTCGGCCTTTTTATTAATAACCGTCATTGATATGCTGGGCTTTGTCGTAAAATCTCCCATTCAGTGGCAATTGTGGGTTCCCTTTTCCTTCTCGGCCACACTATCATTTTGGCTTTTGGCGGGTTTATGTCTATCACAATTAACCAACAACAAATACGCTTTCAAATATGTTCTTATAGGTCTTTTACACGGCATTATAGCTTTCATTTTCCTTCTGGATGGTTTTATATTGTTGATTTACTTATATAAGAAAGAAAAAGTCTCACTCAATCCTACAATCTGGGAAGGTCACGTTGAAACCTTCAGAAATAATAATCAAATCACGTTAGATTGTGTGAAAATTTTTGTTTCAAGAGGCCAACCGTTATCCTCTAGTCAAGATGACAAAGAAAACAAATATTCCGAAAAATCAACTCAAGCAAATTTAGAAGGTTGTTACGAAACCAACAGTTCTCTAATATCGAAAGTAACTTGCCAACTAGAACCAGAAATGGAAACGGAACCTGTAAAAGATACCACTTCAGTTACAGAAATGAAACAGTTAGATTTTTTGAGTTGTCATCCGAAGTCGACTGAAAAAACCACGTCAACCAAATTTACTCTTGCTACACACTCAGGTCCCTATACTCAGACCTTGGAAAATACAAGTAATGTTCCTAAGGAAAACATCCCAAAAGATAGGCCTCTGAAGTTCTTTCAAACAACTGCACATATAGAACCTATAAAAGATCTACATTTACATAGATCACTGTATACACTGAAAGAGTCAAGTTGTTCAAAAGGAGATCATAACCATGGAGATGATTTTGATACAATTATGGATGATGCTCCGTCGATTCTTAAGCCTCTACTAAAACAAAAAAGTAGTGGGATTATAGCGGAATCTATTACCTCTAGTTCTGATATTAATGAGACTAATAGATCTACTCTTCCGCCTTTGGAGGGAGTTATGATACCCAGAGCGATGACTTACCACTCTGACCCATTTATTTTAAGAAGACTTTATCCTCAGACATTTTGTGTGAAAGAAAAGATACCAACAACAATATTACCCGGAACTACAGATCTATCGCCTGTTACTTCACCCTGTAGTTCGAGATCTTCGAGGAATAATTTAGTTAATTCCAGAAACGATAGAGTTTATCAAAAGGCGAAAAGTAGTAATTTTAGAACGAAACAGAAACTTAAAGAAATACGAAAAACGGCACAAATGTAGCATTGACCTTAAAGAAAACAACATTTCTCTTCTTTCTAGACAATAGTTATGTAACAGTTAGTAATCTGAAATGTTAAGTGATTAAAAGTAGTAACTCATACTAGTAATGTATTTTTTAACAAAAATTATGAAAAAAATATGAATTAAAATATGTATTTATGTTTTTGTATTTAAGTTCAATGGTAACAACCAAGAAGGATTAATAAATAATATTCATTATTAGATTTCTTATTAGATTTATGTAGTCTTTCTATAATTATATCCCTTTCGGTCATTTTGATCAGGGAAACTTCTGAGTATTTTAACTAAACGAAACTGGAACAGTAATATCCTTTGTGTTACATTAACCATAAATTTCCTGAACTAATTTATGAAATTATTATAAAATAGATACGTAATATACGTGTTTCTTTATTTTTCAGACAATAATTGAATTAGCTGAAAAGGGTCCTGGTGGTTTTGAACCTTCAACGTTTTGTTCTGCTTGCTTGGTAAAAAGACCATTACGTTCTAAACACTGCTCTATATGCAATAGATGCGTGGCTAAATTTGATCACCACTGCCCTTGGGTGGCAAATTGCATTGGTAAGCACCATCTTCATATGTTGACTAACTAATACCGATAAGTAATTTTACTTTTCAGGTGCGAGTAATCATAAACATTTTATTGGTTTTCTAACATGTTTGGTGATAATGTGTGGTCAGATGGTTTACGGGGCCGTACAGTTTTGGAAAAACCTGTGCCACATTTCGCCTACTAACGAAGGCTTTTGGAAAACGTTACTCAGTATAAGCCAATGCCAGACTTGGGTGGCTTGGGTCTCTGCAAATGCTTTCCTTCATTTAATTTGGGTTTTTATGCTCCTCATTTGTCAAATTTATCAGGTATGTGTGTTTTTTAAATATTTTATTACTATAATGGATCTGTTATCCTCATTCCCTACCATTGTCCTCTCCCTCGCAGCCAAAGATACCACACTCCTACAGACTAAAACGAAGAAGCCGATACTATAAACATTTTGCTGCTTTTACTCGGATGTAAAATTAGGTTGGTGTAAAAAATAAAACATGGGGTACTCTTGAAGATTCCTTAACTATTTCTCTTATGTTTTTTTCAGATATCTTGCCTCGGTATGACAACTAACGAACGTATGAATAAGGGTCGTTACGTCCACTTTGTAAACAACTCTGGTAAAAGCCCTTTTTCGCGCTCTCCTCTTGCAAATCTGGCGGACTTTTTTGGTTGTCGATGTTTCGGTCTTTTTACTCCACAAACCAAAGATTGGACGACGAGTTACAACTTGGACAAAGGAATAGAACAACAACCTCTCCTAAAACACAAGGACAACTTCCAGTATGTGTGAGAGGTAAAGATTATGGGGAGATGCGCCTTTGATTCGCGTGTCCTGTATCGGTTAGTTACTGTTCGCACGCGTCCCTGTACAAGAAGTACCATGTGATTGGCTGAAGACATTCCGCATATGTAGGTCTTTTAAAATTTGCTTTTTTGCTTGTGCTATGTTATTTTTTTATGGCTATATTCAAGGGATCGCAACAAGTAAAGTATTTGTATATTGTATTGAGGTGTAACGTAGGCGTAAACAGTACAGGGGGTTAATATCCTCTAAGAAGAGTCGTAATGCAATAAACGTATCAAAATAAAATTTTGAAAGTTTCAAAATTGGTTTTGAAAAAAAAAATAAAAAAAAAATTTAATTGACATAATGAGTGTAATGATCAAATACATCTCAATCTAGCTTACCGTCTTACAACATACCTATATTTTTGTTAAATTAATTTAAATTAATAAATGAAACTACGAGGAAGAAGGATATTTTGTATTATTAAAACATATTAAGTTTTTATCAATGATTGACAGTCACTGATATATATTGATTCAGCCAGATTGCAGAGTAAAAAAGTTTAATTATTTTTCTGATTTTTTTTCTTTCTTAAAATTAAATTAACTTCAAAATCTGAAACTAAAAGAAAAACCAGAATGTTATTATTTTGACGAAATTCCTTTATAAAAATTAAATACAAAGAAAAAGAAATAGACAATTTTATTTGCAAAATAAATCTCTACAACATCTAAATATAGTTTAAATATACTTAAAAGATGATAATAAACATTATTACTCTTGTCTTACACCGTTTACGCCTAAAAATAACGAGGAATGGGGCAGATTTTGCACACACTTGCTTACACTATGTATTATAAGAATTTAGCCAGTTGTTATTTTCGACTGCATAATTTTATTCTGTTGATTTTTCTACTTTCTATAAGTTAAGAATATCGCTAGGAAAGAAATATACTACGCGCTCAGTTATATGAACTAGTAAAAACCAGGTGTGCTTAAAAAGTGGAAATGTTCATACAATTATACATGTACATATACTTTTTAATATTGAATGTTAACAGTTATTGTACAGTTTATTTCATTACTTTTTCATTCACATCATCATCGTCGTAATCTCGTGATACTCCATTTTCTAAACACTTTATTATTAAACAGCATTAACGCTTTTCATTTCATATTTTACTTTCTAACAACAACAACCACTAATACATTATTAGTTTGTCAAGTACTTACACTATAACTTATAAATATTGAATTCCAATAAAAAAAAGCCGGGAAAATACCGATGAAAGTTGTTCATGTGATCGAATGGTTCATATAAAAGGTGTTCACATAACCGAGCGTCAGCTGTATAATATAATTAAATAAATATTTTGATGTGCACATACGCACGTTGTGTTGATCTCAAAATTTTGCTTAGAGAATATTTAAGCAATGTTTTTAGCCACTAAAGATTACTTTGCTAAAGAAGCTTGTGATGGTACATACGTATAAGCCCTCGTGAAAATAGAAAAATATTAAGTATGGTTTTATTATTACATTTATTATCAAGATGGTTATTGTTTATAATATGGGGCCCATGATCGAAAGGGGATGGAAAAGGGGTGCAGAGAGTGAGGAAAACCTTGTATAAAAGTAAACAAGTGCTTTTAAGTGGTGGCGGTTGGGTAGAGATGAAAAATCGAATATTAACCTAACCCAAATCTGCGCTTTCTCCTAAAACTATCTTTTTATACAAGGTTGTCTACACCCTTTCCCATTTTCCCCTTCCCTCCAACTGTGGGTTTCATATTGTAAACAATTACCCACAAAATTATTATAGGGAGAAGACGAATAAATCAAAACTGTTCGCTTCTAAATATATCTTTATGTGATGCTTATACGTTTTAATATCTTGTGGAGAAGGAAACACATAAGCGAAAGTTACATAGTTACATACTTTTTGAAATTACTAATGTTTTGCATTGAAATAAATTATGTATGGCATTAACTAAACACAAATCATACATTCATTAACGTCCTTTCCCATCGTTTTATTAAAACAGAGTATGTCACAACCTTTTCTAAAGAAACATATATGTCTTATTGAAATGTCTTTACACTCAGGAATAAAAACATTTTTTGGCATTAATTAACAAATATACACACTGTTCATATATATACTTTGGATATTAATAAGGCTTTCGCAGCTATAAGCCATAATTTTTAAAATGTTTTTTGACGAATTTTTCTGATATGCGTTATATAAAGGTGAATGAGCTAGAGAGGAAGAGAGAGCAAGCAAAGCATGTTCAGTAATGTATTTTGACAAAGATATCTTTCTTTTTTTGTTTTTTATCGACATTATGCAGTATATTTATTTTAACAAAGCTGTTATGTTGTTATTTATGGCTATAAATTTGTTTTAATTATCTAAGTATGTATATATTTTTAAAAAATATTTAATAGAAACAAAGTTTTGTAACTTTTAACCACATAAAATACGTAATTTGTTAAATTTCAAACGTATTTTTTTACGATGTCGACAAATCATTATTTTATTGACGGTAGATATACCATAATTTGTTATTATTACGATATATTTTAATGACCACTTCCTTTTTATCAATATAATAAAAAAAGAGTGAATATATCGAATATGAGGCAGGCCTATGTTTCTAATCCTTACCAACGCACAAAAGCAAGGCATAATAATAATGAAAATGATGAAACCAAAGTTAGCTATATGAGGGGGGAGGATGTCAAAAAGTGGCTTAGATAAAGCCGACTAATTTATATACAGCTCCTTGGCTAATTTGATTTGCTTTGAACAAATAACTCTTCGAAACTATTTATGTGATTAGGCTGTGGTGATTAAAATTTTTTGTTTTATTCGATAGATTACAGTTTGCTTACTTCATCTATGTTATTTTTAATATCACATATATATATATATATATATATATATATGTAC